TCTGTGTTTCTTGTGAATAAATAAATAAAATCTTTATTAAAAAAAGAAATATAAATAAATTTACTTTTATAAGTCTATGAATTTTTTAAAGTAATTTTTAGTTAGATTGACAGTATTTTAAAAATAATCTCCAATACTGTTGACTTTAACACTAGATATATAACAGTTGTTTATTTAACAAATATTTACTGAGTGCTACTTTGTACTGTGCTCTAGTACTTTGTGTTGTGGCATGAATCTCTGCCCTTAATGGAATTTACATTTTTAATCAGAGGAGGCTGATAGTAAAAAAAAAAAGTGAAGAACATTATATCAGTTTGCGGTAAGTGCTATTAAAAATAGAACACAGGGAAAGGAGATAGGAAGTGCAGGGAAGTAAGGAAGGAGTTTGCTCTCTTAAATCCAGTGATCAGGAAGGTCTAATTGAGAAGGTGATATTTGAGAAGAGAGAGGAAAGAGGTAGTGGAGGCAAATGCAGAGATCAAGGAGTGAAATCTTGCTTGCCATTTTTGAAATATAATAAGGCCACCAACATGAGTGAAGTGAGGAGTGAAGTAAGTAGAGGAAGATGCATCAACTTGTTGGACCTTGTAATGACTTTGTCTTTTATCCTGAGTGAGATCAGAAGCCACAGCAAGGCTTTGAACCAAGGATTACTCTGCAGCCATATGGGAAGTAAATAATAGGAGGACAAGGGCAGAAGCAGGAGCCTAATAAAAGTGCTAATTATCCAAGTGAGAAAGGTATCGGCTTGGGTGTAGGTTGATGTGGTGGACTTGTTGAAATATAGTCGGGTTCTAAATGTATTTCGAGAGTAGAACCGCAGGATTCTGACGGATAAGATGCGGATTGAAAGAGAAAGAACAGTCATGACATAAGCAAATGAGGAGATGGAGTTGCTAAGAAGACTGCAGGAGGGGCGGGCTTTAGGTAGAGAGATACGGAGTTTGGTTTTGGGTGTATTAATTTGGATGCCTGCTAGATACCTGAATGGAGAGGCCTTTTACTAGTGAACTAATTTACGCATTTTGGTCTGCTGTTCCGTCAAATGGAGTGTGGGCAAAACGACCTCCAAAGGCCTAAGGGACCTTAAGACTGAAGAAAAACACTAAGTTCAGCTTGGTGAGAAATGGTTTATTAAGGAGGTTTATGAACAGAAGCAGGTCCTGAGTGGCTGCAAAGCAAGCAGACCTCTACAACCCCACCTCCTGTGAAACCTGCTCTTGTAGCTCTAGAGGCTGGAGAGTATGTGCGAGGAGACCACCAGGGAGGAGATGTTTGCAAATAGGTATGTATCATAGTTGAATCTCCAGAGCAGATCCAAAGTGTTACACCCCAAGGGTGTACCTACAGGTGCTGTTAAACAAAAGAGAAGAATGGGAATGGGGGCTGAATTCAAGAAGGCTTAGGTCACAAAGCAGCCTTCGTGGTGGTAGTCTGGTTCACAGGTCTGGCAGCGACAGCGTCGAGTGTTTCAGGTATATTGGTTTATGAAGTACATGATTACAGCGAAGTGAATTGTATGATGAATTTTAAGGGGTGGACTTTATAGTATATTTTGCTAATAAGTATACTATGTAGAGGTAACATATGTAAATGTGCCCATTTCTTTCACACTAATTTACAGTTAAAACCAGATATTGATTCTTCAGAAGTTAGTTTCAGGGGATTAATTTGTAAACTTTAGTTGAAAAGGATGGATGCTTTGTCCATTGGATGCTTTGTCCATTGGATGGGTGTTGTAATATTACCATTCTAGAATCAGAAAAGATTTGTTCCGGTTTCTGAAAAGGAAATTATTAAAACGTTAAGATTTGTAACTTGCCCAAGGTTTGACAGGTAGTGTTGGGTGGTGAAGTCATTGATCCAGTACTCTTTTAATATGATTATTCTATGCTGTCTGCTCAGGCCATTGTTCCTACCTAACAGTTTGCTTTTCTTTTACTCAATTTTCAGTATTTATCATTAAATTTCAGTCTCACACTCTTTTTTGGTATTTCACCATCCTATTGCAGTATCCCTTAGGAGATTCTTTTATTATTTGAAAATCCTTTGACTCTGTAGTTCTTTGAAGCTTGGGAAACATAGTCTTTTGACTTAGCAATTCTATGAAGTTGGGAAAGCACAGTTTCTCCATTTCTTAATAGTTGCATAATTTTTTTGCAATATTACACTTTGCCTTAATAATGCAGTTTCCAATCTAAACATTCTTTAGTAATTCAATCTCTTATCAGTTGTATATGTTCTATGTTTTGCATATTATATTGTATATACTAGATTGAATAATTTAATATTCCTGTTAAATATCGGTATTTAGTTGATATTAGTGACTAGAGCTCAGAAAGTAAGTTTGAAAATAAGTTACAGGTGTAACTTTACGACTATTTCCATGAGTGAAATAGGAGCAGTTATGGTATCAAGATCAAGTTATTAAAACAAAATTAAGAGCTGCAGCAAATATCATTCAGGTTATAATAGTTACTGTTAATTTTTTCAGACATTAGATTTACCGTTAGTCTGTCTGATAATTAGTTGACTTATTTTGAGACTTCTCCCAGCCAAAATGAATGTTATATATAAATTTTGAATCTTCAGTCTCTTCTTTAAGACTTATTTTTAGCTATATGGTATGTACTTTTTTCTACCCAAAAATACCATTAAGAGAGAGCTCTCTGGTTTCTTTTTGCCACTACTAGCATAGCATCAAGTGTTGCTTTCCTTTCCTGTTTTCTATTTGTAAACCTTTTGTTTGTAATTTTATTGATAGGAATTAATACTTAGAGATAAATTTAGAAATACCAGAAAATTCATTTTAAAACTTGGTCATACTGTATTGTTAGATACTAAATTCAGTTCCTATTCCAAAGTTTTCTTCTGCTGTGATGGAACTTTATATATAAACGAACTATACTATAAAAAGGGGCATCATAAAATGTAAGATTTATATTATCTTTAAGGAGTATTAAAAGTATGATTATTCCCATTGATAAATCATTCATTTATTCTTTCTACCAGTACTTAAAAGAAGATCTATAAGATATGTAAGTGAAGTTAAGAACTAGAAATGGCTTCTGAAAACAGTATGGTGGATAAGTAAATAGATACCAGGATAAAATAGAAGTCTTGAGAGATAGGCACAGAGTACTATATTCAACTTTAATGGAAGTAGGGACTTTGAGACAGAGGTGGTCTAAGTCCAGAGAAACTTGTAAAGAAATAATGAATTAAAAGCACAAACAACAGTGTTGGGATATCAAATGGATAGTTATTAAATCTGTTTGCTTTGACAGTGGCATGCATACCAAGGGAATATTTAAAGCAATTATTTAGAGAAGTTAGGGATATATTTTTTTTAATTATTAAAAAAAAAAGTTTCTAAAAAAAAAAAGTTTCTATGTTTACCTGAAAAAGAGTACATGCTTGTGCACCTCTGAGGATGAGGCGGGGGGGGGGGGGGGGAAGCAGAGGAAGAGAAAGAATCCTCAAGCAGATTCCTTTGCTGCTGACTGAGGAGCCCAAGGTGTGGCTCCATTTCAGGACCCCGAGATCATGACCTGAGCCACCCAGGTGCCCCATAAAGATACTTTAGATCCTAGAGACTTGGCTGCAGTTTTTTTCCACTGTTTTCCAATACTGCACTTTTTCTCCTTTTTGTTTTTCGCCCATCTTCTGTTGTCTTACTACTATAGCCAGATTGTCTACATTCCTTCCTGCCAGGTCATCCTCTTGGGCTTCATTTTACTTGTACATCTTCCATAGCCAGCTTTAACCAGGTAGGCTAGTCTCATTGGTCTTCATTTTTTTATTCCTTTAGCTCTTAAAATATATTTTTATTACAACAGAAGTTTCATATTTTTAATTCTGTGGATTGTTGTCTTTTTTTTTAAGTAGGCTCCATGCCTAATTTAGGACTTGAACTCATGAGTACCATCCTCCACTGAGCCAGCCAAGTGCCCCTAGATTGTCATCTCTGTAAGGGCAGGATCATCGTGACAGACTGAGTTCTGAAGGCAGTAATTGTGTGTATCCTGTTCACTGTTGTACCTTTAGCATCTGCCACAGTACTGTTATACATAGTTGTTTAGGAACATTTTCAACTGACTAGAGAATAGATTTATACTACTTTGGCCTTCATAAAATACATAGGATATAAATTGGTTACTCTGAATACATTTTTGGCAGATGATTTATATCCAAAAAATTTAGATTAAAAACTTGGATTAATACTGTAGTTCTCTGATTTGCTTTTGAGTATCTATAGATATAATTTATTGCTGGATCTCTCTTTGGTTTGTGGGTTACTTGTCATAGCTAACTGTACTTTTTAGTATTCTCCGTAAAATGAATCTAAGATTACAGATTTATTTATTTATTTATTTATTTATTTATTTATTTATTTATTTATTTATTTAATGATAGTCACACAGAGAGAGAGAGGCAGAGATATAGGCAGAGGGAGAAGCAGGCTCCATGCACCGGGAGCCCGACGTGGGATTCAATCCCGGGTCTCCAGGATCACGCCCTGGGCCAAAGGCAGGCGCCAAACCGCTGCGCCACCCAGGGATCCCTAAGATTACAGTTTTAAATGGACTTTTGGTAGTTACATTAATTTGATAATTTGTATTTGTAAATCACTTGTCTCTTAGAGTGCTTGTCCTATTTGGTTTGATTTAATGTTGAGTTATGCAGTTTGGTCTTCATGTAAGTCTTGTACAACAGAGCTAGCTATCTCATTTTTAATATTTTTAATATAGACATTTAAAAATATTAATTTATTAGATAAGCAGTAATACCAGTGGTAGAGAGAATGAAGGAATTCATAAATGGTTCATTTATCTTAGAATTTAAGCAGTGTTTGCCTTAGTTATTCCAGTGTGAAATGCGTCTGTATTTTTTTTTTAAGTGCATCACGGCTAAATATTTTTATCATATCATTCCTTTCCTCTTCCTTCCCTTAAACTTGCTCCCTCCTATGTCCCCTGTGTACCCATTCCCTGCAGCGATCCCTGCTGGCTGTGGTGGAGATTGGTGTGCTGTGAATTTCATAATCAAGGAGTCTAAGAAACCTTGGCACCTGACTACTTGCTTTCACCAGGAATAGGGACCTTTTGTCTGAATTTCCTGCCCTCAGGTAATACTTCTATTCCCCGTCGTTCTGACTTTTTCTTTCTTTTTTATAAATGCAAGCACTTATTATACCCCACATAAAGATACTTTGAGAATATTTTCTAATTCTTACTGCATTAGTCAGATACGATTTTCTTTTTCTCCTTCTTTGCCACCAACCCCCCCCCCTTTTTTTTTTACCGTACCTATAGGTTCATGCAGTTCCTCTCTTAAGGTGACTTTTCTAATATATAAGGTTTGCCAGGCAACTTAAAGTTATAACCAACTCTTTCTATTGTTAAAAGAGAGTTTTATAACTTAGTCAGTCAGCTATTTGGAAATAGTAATTAGCATTTGATCTACTCTTTAATGGAGACGATATCGTAGTCTAATGTAATTAATGAGGTATGAAGGCTCTTTTGATAAAGAGAATGTTTTCATCACTTCTTTTATTGAAGGACTTAGGAGTTTATTTTGTATACTTAATGTTAATTACAGTCTTTATGAAAGAGATTGAAGTAATTTATGAACAGCAGTGAAAACAGTATTCATTCCTGAGGAATGTAAAGACTTGCCACCTCATTTATTACTTTCCCTTTCCCCTACCCCTTTTAAAAATTCATTATCAGGGAAAGTAATTATGTTATAAAACCAGATTCATGGAAATAGCACTCATTTTGTTAAAGTTGGATTTAATGAAAAACCTAGAAATGTATCCTTGAATACTTCTAATGCTTGGGAAATTTATCTGCATAAATACTTTGAACCTGTTCTAAAAGTGTAGTAAGAAACTGGTGATTAAAATATTAACCATGACTGGGGCACCTGGCTAGCTTAGTTGGTGGAACATGTGACTCTTGATCTTGGGGTTGGGAGTGAAAGCCTCACAGTAGGTGTAAATAAAGATCACTTAAAAATAAAAGAACATCCTAAAAAACAATGATAACCATGAGCAGAATTGTGCAACTTATTACATAGGAGTAACGTGACACTTGATAAACTTACTGGCCATGTGTTAGATATGATATATATCAATTAAATATTATTTTCCATATTCTTATCTGCCTTGATTCTATACTGTCATTTGGGTATCTGGATCTAAACAAAAATTGCTAAGAGAAAAGATGCCAGGCTTTAACCTTAGGTAGACCATTAGGGAAGCCTTGGGTAGACCATTAAGGAAGGTAGATCATCAAGGATTATCTCTAGGATATTGATAGTTAAGCATATTGTTTGTATAGGCATTCAAAGATGGTTCTGATTTTGCATATACCTCTAGTAAGTCTTCTGAGACCTTTTGCTCTTGAAGTAGAGTCATAGCTGTAATCATTTGCTTTTTTTAGATTACACTTTCTCAACATATCTTTTTTTGGCCTGGTTTGTGCTTAGCTTATTGAAGATGAGATGTTACAATTTTATTCCTAGTTTAAACCACAGCTATCCATTTGTTTATTTAAGTCTTCTGCCAAACTTAATTCTTTTATCCCTTTATCTTCTCATTTTTATCAATTATGATGCCTTTTTATTTAAATAACTTAACTTTTTCTTCCTTTTCCTGAACCTAGTATGCAGCAGACTTCTTGGCACAAAGTAGACATCAACAAGACTTGAATATCTCTGTTGTCATGACCCAGACTTAACTCATCATTTCTTGTGTTACTCTTGCAAATAAGTGTTTTCATTTCCTTCTGGTCTCATACTTTTTAATTTTATCCTTGGCACTGAGTAGAGAGATCTGTTCAAAATGCTAATCTTAACCATTTAATTTCTTGGTAAAAATCTTTTTTTTTTAATTGAAGTATAATTGACACATAGTATCCCATTAATTCCAGGTGTACATCATAGTGATTTTTTTTTTTTAAAGATTGAGAGTGAGATGGAGTGAGAGAGCGAGAGAGCAAGAACATGTGCAGGGGGAGGGTTAGAAAGAGAGGGAGAAGCAGACTCCCTTGCTGAACAGGGATTTGGTTAGAGCTCAATCCCAGAACCCTGGGGTCATGACTTGAGCCAAAGGCAGATGGTTAACTGATGAAACTACTCAGGCATCCTTATTTTTTGTCCTTTTGATAATAGCCAATCTGACCGGGGTGAGGTGATATCTCTATGTGCTTTTTTTTTTTTTTTTAAGATTTTATTTGTTTATTTGAGTAGAGAGAGCAAGTGAGAGAGAGGGAGGGAGAGAGCGAGCGAGAGAGCGCATGAGTACGTGTGCACTAGCATGATCAACGGGGAGGAGCAAAAGGAGAGGAAGAAGCAGTCTCTCCACGGAGCAGGGAGCCCAATGCTGGACTCAATCCCAGGACCCTGATCATGACCTGAGCCTGAAAACAGATGCTTAACAGACTGAGCCACCCAGGTGCCCCCTCATTGTGCTTTTGATTTGCATTTCTCTGATGATAGTGATGTTGAGCATCTTTTCATATGTCTGTTGGCCATCTGTAAGTCTTCCTTGGGGAAATGTTTATTTGGATCCTCTCATTTTTAAGTAGGATTTTTTTTAATACATTAAGTTGTATAAGTTCATGATATATTTTGGATATTTACCTCTTATAAGATGTATGATTTGTAAATATCTTCTTTCATTCAGTTAGGTTGCTTTTTCATTTTGTTGATGGTTTCTTTTGTAGAAAAGCTTGTAGTTTGATGTAATGCCATTTATTTATTTTAGCTTTTTGTTACCCTTGCCTGAGAAGACCGGTAAAAAAAAAAAACAAACACACACGCACACACACAGCTAAGACCAATGTCAAGAGCTTATTATTATTATTATTTTTTTTGAGTTTCATGGTTTCTGACTTCACATTCAAGTCCTTAATTCATTTTGAGTGTTTTTTTTTTATTTGGTATAAGATAGTGATTCATTTTTTACATGTGGCTGTCTAGTTTTCCTACCACCATTTATTGAAGAGACTTTTTTTTCCCCATTGTATATTCTTGCCTTGTTACATATATTAATTGAACGTATATGTATGGGTTTATTTATGGGCTCTTTATATTCTATATATATACATTTTTTTAAAGATTTTATTTATTTATGATAGAGAGAGGCTGGCTCCATGCCGGAAGCCCGACGTGGGACTCGATCTCGATCCCGGGTCTCCAGAATCATGCCCTGGGCCAAAGGCAGACGCTAAACTGCTGAGCCACCCAGGGATCCCCTCTATTGATATATTTGACTTAAGTTTTTATGCCAATACCATACTGTTTTGATTACTAACAGCTTTGTAGGATTTGAAATTAGGAAGCGTGATAACTTCCAGCTTTGTTTTTTCTCTAGATTGCTTTTGCTTTTCAGGGTCTTTTCATGGATCCATGCAAGTTTTGGGATTCTTTGTTTTAGTTTTGTGAAACATGCCATTGGTGTTTTGAAGAGGATTGAATTGAATCTGTAGATTGTTTTGGGTAGTATATAGTTAATATTTTAACAGTATTCTTTCATTCCATGAGCACAGAGTATCTTTCCATTTATTTGTGCTGTCTTCAGTTTCTTTCATCAGTGTCTTACAGAGTATATGGGTCTTTCACTCCCTGGTCAAATTTATTCCTAGAATTTTTTTTTTTTTTTGATGCAGTTGTAAGTGGAATTATTTTCTTAATTTCTTTCTGGTAACTTATTATTATTCCTATTTCTGTAAACTTTGTATCCTGCAACTTTACTGAATTTTTTAGTCCTTACTAGTAGTTTTTTTGGTGGAGTCTTAGAGTTTTCTATATGTTATATCTGCAAATTGACAGTTTTATTTCTTCCTTTCCAATTTGGATTCCTTTTATTTCTTCTTGCCTAACTGCTCTGGCTAGGACTTCTAATACTATGTTGAATTAAAATGGTGAGGGTGAGCATCCTTGTCTTGCTGCTGATCTTAGAGGAAAATCCTTCGGCTTTTCACTGTTGAGTATGATGTTAGCTGTGAATTTGTTGTAGGGCCTTTATTATGTTGAGGGGTACATTTCTTCAATACCCACTTAGTTCAGAATTTTTACCGTAAATAGATGCTGAATTTTGTCAAATGCTTTTTCTGCATCTATTGAGATGACCATATGATTTTTATCCTTTGTTTTGTTAATGTGGTGTATCATGTAAAGATTGGTAAAAAGGGGGCAGCCCTGGTGGCCCAGCGGTTTGGCGCCGCCTTCAGCCCAGGGCATGATCCTGGAGGCCCGAGATCGAGTCCCACATTGGGCTCTCTGCACGGGGCCTGCTTCTCCCTCTGCCTGTGTCTCTGCCTCTCTCTCTCTCTCTCTCTGTCTGTCATGAATAAATAAATAAAATCTTAAAAAAAATTTGGTAAAAAGTTCTTAATGGCTCATGACAAGCTTTTTTAAAAAAATAGATTTGTTTTTTAACAGTACAATTTTGGGGGGGCACCTGAGTGGCTCAATGGTTGAGCGTCTGCCTTTGGCTCAGGTTGTGATCCCTGGGTCCTGGAATCGAGGCCTGCATCAGGCTCCCCTTAGGGAGCCTGCTTCTCCCTCTGCCTATGTCTCTGCTTCTTTGTGTCTCTCATGAATAAATAAATAAAATCTTAAAAAAAAAAAGACTTTTTGTCCCAAGAAATACTAAAATAGAACTTAATTGCATAAGATAAGGTAAAAGTAGGGCTCTTTGTTAATGGAACAAAGACCAGGCTATGCTCATAAATTATCTTTTAGTAGTTTAGTTGAATCAGTAATTAGGGAGATCAGCTATTAGATCTTTTTCCTTTTTATTTCTTCGCCTGGCTATGTTGAATCATGAGCAATCTTCTTAGAAGCACTGTGGGAACAATCCTTATGTGTAGGATGCAGGAGTCCTTCATGATCTGGTTTCAGACCATCTTTCAAAGGCATACCATTTCTTTACAAACTACCCCATGCCATATGCTTCATCTGCGACTCCTGTATGTGATCCTGTAGTCTTGAACATGCTGTTGCTGTGCCTAAAATGCCCTCCTCTCCCCTATTCACTGAGCAGAAACTTAATCTTGAAAAATAGCTCGTTTGGCCTCCGTGAAGCTTTCCCAAAAGAGTATTTTTAAAAATTATCAC